GCAGCACACACAGCAATCTTCTTGCCTTGGTATCCCATGCACTGGGGCTACTAGCATGCAACTTTTTTTTAAAATGACCTTTTCTCTTCAGAAATACTGAGTTGGATACACAGATGGATAAATATGTAATAAAGCAAATATAACAAAACATAAAATTGCAAAATCTGGGTGGTAGGGACATGAATTTTACTACAAAGTGTTTTCAACTTTTTCTGTATGCTTCTTCAAAGGGGAACAGAGGGGGATTCTTCAAATAGAGGGGAATTTACACATAACTGTAAAACACTGATGACCAAGTAAAATAAAATTTTGATCCAAATTGCTTGGCTGACTTGAATGGTATCTTTATTGGCATTTACTTATTCATTTTGCGTTCCACTATTTACAAAGCACTTTAAAATTTTAAATAATACAATTTCAAGGTATAGCTACTAATTTTAATCAATTTAAAAGATACATAAAATTCATTAAATACCTCAAAGTATATATAAAAACAGGATTCTGTTAATGTTTAATTAGGTTGTACATTTAACAAATTTACTCTTGTATTTTTAAGTATGCAACCATATTTCATTTAATTATCTTTAAGTACAATTAAGTTCACCACTGAGTGAGAATTTATGGATCTTAACATTTGAAAAAAGAAATATGAGAGATAAGGTACATTTGGTACCTGTTACAATACAACCACCTAAATAAATTCCATCATACCGCATTAAAAAAATTTACCTCTATTGTACTGAATTCTTTGTCTTATGGCAACAAAAAAGGGTAAAGAACAATGTATTATCTTGTACTTAACATTATTAACAAATCATTTATTTAACCATCAACAATATGTATTAAATACAATTTATTGCACTCTAAAATATTTAAACATACCTATCTAAAACTTGACATTATTCTAAAAAAAGGCACATGGAAAATAACTTTAAACATTTTCACATAAGTAAAAATGGAAGAATTTCAAAATGAAGTAACACTAAGTTGCTCATTACACAAAATAAACAATTTCAAGAAAGCCGTCATTTTTAGAAATGAAAAGGTTTTTTTAGAATGCCACTATAAATCATACTTTGTTTAGAAAACTGTAAGTCATCATAACATTCATTTAAGTTCATATCTGTAAGAAAAAAAGGTGGCAAAAGTAACCTAACCACTGATCTTTTGACTTTTTTCCCAATTTAAAATATTTCTACAGAATCAAGTCTAAAATCAAATCACTCTATTTTCCCAGCATTACATTTTGTACATAAGCTCTCAAACAGCTGTCTACAGTATACAGATATCTGGAAGTGTCAGTGTATATTCCACTGCTCCACCTGAATTTCCTCCACTATATGCCCCTTAAACTTGTCCTCAACAAAAACTACAAGTACAGTCGGTAAGTAGTCCCCAAACTCAAAGTCTCAATATTTTAAAAAAAGGAACAGCCAGGTGTGGTAGCACATGCCTGCAATCCCAGCATTCAGGAGGCTGAGGCAGGAGGACTGCTGTGAGTTCAAGGCAAGCCTGGGCTGCAAAGTGAGTTCAAGGCCTGGCTGACCATATAGCAAGTCCCTGACTAAAAATTAAATAAATAAATAAAGGGAACAGTTAGCTCAGAATTTCCCTAACATGCTCTGCAACAGTCAACAGACTCTAAAAAGGATTCTGTGGTCAAATAAGTAATTTCTTAAACCAAAATTTCCCATAAATTGTGGTATGGTAATCATGCTTCCATGAGGGAGGTGGTAAGGGAATGGAGCAGAATTATATTCATTTAAACTTTCGCCAACTAAAATTAGACAAGATTGACTCAGAAAAATTGCTGCAGTAAACACTGCAATGAATGTAATTCTGGTGCCTAAAAACAAGAATAAGGGTTTTTTTTGTATACATTCCCTAATGCTAATGAGTAGGACATCTGACACAACCAAAGATATAGCAAGCTCAAACAATGGTGGATAAAAATGATTGTAACAAATTATGTTTATACTATTTTATGAGCAGCAAAGGACGTTCAAAGGCAACTTTGTATATACATAAATTTTCTACCTTGCACACTGATTTCAGAACCAAACCATCAAAAAAGATACATGTACTTTTTGAACACAGAACTATTTTCTAGAAATATCTCACAGAATTAATATTACACTATACACACTCTGGAAAAGTGATTTCACTGTACAAAGTGAACACTCAAGTTGAATATTATCAATTTTAAGTGGCAACATTCTCAAATTATAAATAAATAAAAGTTTGAATAGTAATTTACTTTCAATAATTTGAAAAAGTTAAAGCTTTCTACTGTAAAGATGTACTTATTAGAGTCATATAATAAAAGTATTACCTCAATTTGGAACATTCACTACACTCAAAGCAAAGTCATAGGCCAGATTAAAGAGATAAAATTGTCAAAGGAATATATGTTCAAGATATTTTTATAATAAAAAACCTAATTCTAACAGCAGATATAAAAATGTTTTTTTTTTTGTTTTTTTTTTTGGTCTTTTTGAGACAGGGTCTCACTATGCAGCTCAGGCTGGTCTTGAGTTCACTTTGTAGCCCAGACTTGTCTCAAATTCACAAGGATCCTCCTGCCTCAGCCTCCTGAGTGCTGTGATTACAGGCATGCACCACCACACCCAGCATGTGTTCTATTAGTTTAACCAATGAAATTAAGTAATCAACAGGCTAAAATAGTACCCATGAAAATTCCCTTTTTCTATTTCCATAGCCATAACCTAAATTTCTGATTTAATTTCCTCTCACTACAATGCCTATTCCTAAATGCAATTGTAACACTCTTTGTAAGAACCAGCTTTAATCATATCTCCATAATCAAAAGCCATCAATGGCTACCTACCATACATTCGGTTGTCTGAGTCCTTAAAAGCAGGAGTCAATGTAACCTATAATCTGGCATCAACCAACATCCAAATTGGTATCTCTCAATTCACTTTCACTCATTTTGCTTTTCAGAAAAATATTTGAGATTCTAGCATGAGTTAGGCACCATACTAAATTCTGAATTACTCTATTGCATTGCTTTCAAAGTTGAACTAGCTTCAGTATCTCTGAAAGGGAACAGGTCCCATCTCCAGAGCTTCTGATTCAACTGGAATGAATGTGATTTCGAACTAGTTTTCAAGTGCTGCTGCTGCTGCTGCTCCAGATCTATACTTGGGCACACTGCTCTACTCTCAAGGCCACAAAATGAAGGCTCACTGAGGAATGTGACCCACCCCCAGGTCTGTTTGAAAATCATTTTTCAATTACTTATAAGCATTTTTAAATCAGAAATTGTCACATAAAATTCAGACACTTAGCTTATTCTTATACGTAAAATTTCCGCATGAGCTCAACGGAAGCAACCCTATTTAATCCAGAGAGATGCCCTAGTCCAAGATACCAAATAAATTTTCTCCACACTCACTTGAAATCATCTGGTTAGCAGTGAACCTGCACTTGAATACTCTGATCCACTTTTCCTGTTCTCTTTGCCTTTTTTCGAGTCCTCACTAACTTCAAACACCCTTTCGCCCCAATACTGCTGAAATGCTACATTCTCTCTTCCAAAGCTTGGGTTAAAATCCTTCTTCAACAAGATTCCAGCAAATATAGAAATCCTTCAGGAATACACACAGTAAAAGTTAATCAAAACTTTAATATGTTTGCTTTAAAACTCAAGGTTTTATTTACACAAATACTAAAATATGTCTATGGCCATACCACCCTGAATGTGCCCAATCTGGGAAGCTAAGCAGGGTCGGGCCTGATTAATACTTGGAAGGGAGACAAATACTAAAATAGCAGCATTTACCCCAAAAGGCTACCAGATTATATCATCAATTACAAACAAGTACTGAATTTTTTACATTTTCATTCTAAGTAAGATTTTCATCTTTTTATTCTGATTTTTACTGTGAAAGAAATTCTCCCCAGAATGGCATTTAAAATAAAGACAAAACCTTAAATCACACCATCAAAATATAATAATAGCATAGGGCTGAGGGTGTGGCTCAGTGATATAGAACTTGCCTAGCACCTGCAGGGCCTGGTTTAACCCTTAGCACCAAACATAAATGAATAGATACATAGAAGATATATAGATAGGTAGATAGACAGATAGATATTACATACATTATACATATACATATAAGTACATATATAATGTGTACATAAGTATATATCTAAGTATATATGTATATGTAAGTATATTATTAAATATATATACACACACATACACTATAGTAGCTTTAATAATATATGTTGTAATTTTGTAAGATAATAAAGAGAGGAGAGTCAGGTGTGGTGGTGCATGTCTATAATCCCAGCACTCAAAGGCTGAGGCAGGAGGATTGCCTCAAGTTAGGGGCCTGCCTGGGCTACATAATGAACTCAAGGCCAGCCTGAACTACCTAGTGATGCCCTGTCTCAAAAAATAAATAAATAAATAAAGGAAAGATGGGGTAATGATACAATTCCCTTGATTTCATAACCTAAAAATCTATAAAAGCAATTTTAATGAAGTAAATTCTTCTAATTTTTCAATTTGGAGAACATTTTAGTAGGCTAATCCTCTATATAACAAACGGGGAGAAAATTACCATAAAAAATTAGTGTCCTTGCTCTGCCATAATTTTATTACCTCAAGTTCTCCCTGGACCTCAGTTCCATTATTTCTAAACTGAAAAGGTGAAAAAAAGTCTTTTCCACATATCTTCCACCTTGGGCCAGGCGTGGTGGTGCACGCCTGTAATCCCAGCACTCAGGAGGCTGAGGCAGGAGGATCGTTGCGAGTTCAAGACCAGCCTGGGCTACAAAGTGAGCTCAAGGCCAGCCTGAACTGCATAGCGGGACCCTGTCTCAAAAAAAAAAAAAAAACTCCCACCTTGAAAATTTAGGACTCGGTCCTTCAAAAAATGAAAACATTAAAAAGGTCCATACAGGTAAGTTTCTTGTTATTAGTATAGCTTCTAAATTGGACCAATTTAAAACTCTTTAATTATAAGCTGGTCATAGTAGGGCATGCCTGTAATCCCAGCACTCAGAAGGCTAAAACAGAAGAATCGAAAGTTTGAGGTCAGTGAGAACAAAATTTTGAACTTGCTATCATAAGTTCATAGCAAGTTCAAGGCCAGGCTGGGCTACATAGCAAGATCTTCTCTCAAAAAAAAAAAACAAAACAAAACCTAAACCAAAAAATTTTAATTATAGTTTTCAAAGTTCTAAGTAAAAATGCTGAAGACTCACAACTTTGAAAGAAAATATACATTTGTACACAACTTTGTGTACATTCTAATGATGAAAATTTTAAAATCTCCTGTAAGGCTATCAGGGAAAAGACAGAGGGAAGACAAATGAAAAATTTTACCACAGAGACCCATCAGTAAGTCTGAATATCTAAGAAAAATATTAAATAAGTCAAAATTTAAAAAGAAAATCATGTAAAAAAATTGTGCACAATAGATATCAGCAATATTTAAGACCATGCATTCTGCTTCAGGATATTCCCAAATTAAATTTGGCCAAAATTAAAATGATCTAATTATAAGACTGCAAAAAATATCTTAGAGACTATTATATTCAGGTAGATCATGTCGTAAGCGAATTGCTTTCAGCTTCTCCACTTCAATTTTTGCTCTTAGTAGCTCTTCCTCTAGCTGCTGCCTTCTTTTCAATCCATCCCTCTTTTCCTGAACATACAATCCAAAATTTTTTTGATTTTCTAAAATTATCTGATGCTCCTCTTTCAACATTTGCAGGATCTGAGGATCATACCCTGATAGTGACCTAACGTGTTCTCCACTCTCATGACGAAAAAAATCATCTCTCCTTGGAAGAGAAGATGGAGACGATGTCATTCTCATATCAACAGAGGAAAGTGATGGTGACAAAGATCTTTCCATAACATGTATTAACTCATGTTCTTCTCTTTGTTCTAAAGTATTACTAGGTTGAGGATTTAAAACCAGTGGAGGAGGTGGTTTAATATCTTCTTCTTGCTTTACCTCCACTGTAATAGCAACAGGATGGTGATCCAACATTATCTGTAGTGAACTGGTACCAGCTTGTGCAGCCTCATCCAAGTTTGCACTATAGCACATAAGAAAAGCATTATAAAATATAAATCAAATGATGAGTATATTTATAGCATAATTTCATATTCAATACACATTAAATTATAAAGTCATAACAAAAATTATGAAACAAAAGTTGAATCCTGAGATTAATATGTGAAAAATGTTAAGATTAAGATGTGAAAAATAAATACATATAGACTACTCTATACTTAACCTTTTCTTTAGTTTTGCTTTGTGGTGCTGTGGATTGAGTTCAGGTCCTGTGACATGCCAGAGAAGTGTTCTACCACTGACTTCCTTAGCCTTCCATCCTTAACTTTTCATTAGGCTTTTTGAAGGACAGGAAATTACAAGTATTTTAGAAGGCTAATGAGGAAAACAAATAAAATCCATTTTTAATTTTCTCAAAGAAACATCAATCGTCCCTATAACCCTTTCTGGTTTTAAACGGTATAAAGAGTTCTTTCATGCACTGTAGGTCTTGCTATTCCCACACCTTAGCTATAGACCTCCTGCTTCTGTTCTCCATGAGTGATCAAAAAGTCAAGACCTATCACTTCTAAGAAAGTAGCAGAAAACCATCTATGGAAGGTAATGATTTCTCCATTTGCCCAAATATATATATGGTTCAGGAGTATGCCCAAAAGTCTAGGAATTAGCCTACTTATACAATTTCAGATAGGATGGCATTTCTCCTTTTCCTATCCTGAACATTATATGAGTTAAAAGTTCACAGGAACAAGGGTTTTTATCCATCACTATAGACCCAGCACCTAGCATAATACTGCACTGTCCTTAAAGCACAGTAGGTGTTCACTATATGCTGAATACATGAATGAACAAATAAAATGATTTTTAAGTACACTGTTTCTAAATGCCTTACATAGATATAGTTTATTAAATTTATAAAAATGTTCATAACATGCATTCCTAATAGAGCCAACAAAAGTTTTAGTATAACTTTAACTTTGGCATCATATTTGTTTTGACTTTATAAACACAATGCACTTTAAAATTCTGTTTAAAAAAACAGCTTCATGTGTATATGAAGCTGTTAACAATATATAACCTTCTTTAAGTTTTTTTCTCAATTTATACTTCTGCCTAACTTAAAAATAGAAGTTACAGGAGAAAAGACTTTTAACTCTTACTAATTTTAGGATATTAATAAAACTATGTCAACATTATTTAGAGGACATTTTATAAATGATAAGTAACATCATTAACAATAATTCTACTTGGAAAATTAAAATGCTGGAGTAAATTCAAGTACAACATAAGGGAAAAAAAATTAAAACACCCCATATGTCATTGTTGGCACTAAATTGGATATCTGCCTAAGAGATTTAAATGAAAGAATTGAACAAGATATACAGAAAGTACATAGTAATCTCCTCATAGATTATATGAATTCTTTAGTTTTTGTTCTTGTCTCTTTCTTTTTTGTCATTTTATGCTTTCCAAAGACAAAATAATGCTCTATAAAAGTAATTCAAATTGGCAAGATTTGCTTCTATTAACATCTCTATTAAAATCTAGAATGGGAAAAGGTTAAAGATACAGATGAAAATTCTAATTCTACATAATTACCATTCCAAATAAGTACATAGAGCATAAACATAGTTATTATATACCCAAGTAAATTAAAAATATGCTTATATCTGGAATATTCCATTCCATTTTAGTTAAAACATTACAAATAAGGCATAAAAAAGTTTTTTTTACAAAGCTTTAGAAAAGTTCACAAAAATGATAAAGGTCTTATAAATTTATGAATCTAAATTTAAGAGGATCAAACAGGTTACAAAAACAAAGTAATCTGATATTAGAGAGAGATAAAAATAAAGACATAATGAGTTATAGAACTAGACTAAAAAATTATGCATTTTTAAATAAATTAAGTAATACAAGAGTAATATTTCCTTACAAAGAAGCAACTGGTGAGATTAGGTCATATTTATTTAGAAACATAATTAAGATTACAGAATTATAAACTTCTGAGATAATTATTGAGTCAAGATGATGTCAACTAAATAAGTATAAGCACATTAAAGATATAAGCATATTTAATGATTAAGTTAATATGGAGAAAACACCAATGCAGACACTAATATAAGATTTAAATGTTACATTTCTTGTATTTTTCTCTTCAAAATCTAAAACACTAGTATTATTTTAAAAACTAGTATTATTTAAATAGTATTATTTAAATAATAAAATCTAAAAAACTAGTATTATTTACATAAACTAGTATTTATGTAAAGAAATATATAAATCAATTATAATCCATTTTTATCAGAGAAATATTGGTGTCCTAAAAAATTGTGTATGTGTGTATATATGTGTGTGTGTGTGTGTGTGTGTGTATATTTTGTATAGGTATACATAGAAATGGTCACAATGTAAAAATACTTGCGTATTTATTTCTCTTCTATACTCATTGTATTTTTAAAATATGCAACTATCTAAAGTTTCTATGCGTGGTTTTCAAATTATAAAAAACTAAATTTAATAACTAAAAGTACAGTTTTAGAAATACCTGCAACGCAAAAGCCATATTTCTACATAGTTTTTTGGGGGGAGGTATAGGGTGGAAATTTTAAATAAACATCAAAACATAAAACAATTTTACTGTGGAGTTTATTAGAAAATCCAGTATATTACATTCTCATCATTTGTCATCAGTGAATAATTTAATTAGTGGCCTCAAATATTAATCCACTATATACCCATGTCCTGGGCCCAATGGCAATATTTTTTTTACTAAACTACCTAACAGAAACAAGCAGTGTATGCTAAGAAGCTAGGTTGAAAAATATTTTCCCAGTAAGTTACAAAAATAACAGCTACACTTGGCTAAAAAGTTTTTCTCCTGTTTCTTGCCTAAATTCAGAGAAATTTCACAGGTAATCAATAATGCTGCTTATATAATGCCTCTCCTACAAGAAGGAAAGCACACTGTATAAAGCTTTGTTCAAAAGGCCCCTCAACCAACACGGAATTTACAGTTTGTTTATATTACCCTAAATGGTTCAGAAGAATGCAGCTGCCATTTTTTATCTTCTGCCAAGGGTTGAAATTTGAATTAGTAGCAAGATAATAGTTTTGAAGATTCTCAGGTAAATATTAGTTATACAGAGCACAAATTTAAGCCCAAAATACTTTTAACCCTAAAAGAACTCGCTTGCTAAAATGGGTATGTTAAAATTCATAGTTTGATATCCTTGCAAGGCAGTATGAGAAACCTTAACTTTCTTGTCTGACCCAAGACCAAAGTGAAACTAGACCATTAATGAATAAAAACAAAAACTTTTAATTTTATTATCTTAATCTCCAGTTAGGCATTAATTCCCTAGAGTTGTGTTCATTTTATTTTAAATGTTCTAAAAATAATTTAACCTGTTTTCATATAATCATATCATTAATAACTACTTTACTATTGATTTTAGTTCTATGTTCAATGCAGTGTAGAGTATAACAATTCACAAAAAAGCACTCCATTTGTCTGCCACTGTTAACTTCATATACATTTTATATAAAATCCAAACATCCCATGAAATGTAACCCTAAATAAAAAATTATCTCTCTGAAGCAAATTAAATAATTTTAAAGCTTAAAAAGTTTATGAAGTGATGTCATAAATTTCATCCCATTTATTCCTCCCTAACCTTTACTTTTCAGAAATCACAGAAGGGAAGGGGGAGGGGAAGACAGTTAAAAAGTGGCTTAAATCAAATGCAGCAGAAAAATTCCTTATAGCCTCACTTTTCTTTTTTTAAGAAAGCAAAACAAAGACACTATTCATTGCTCCCGTTGTGGGGATGCTTACTATGCATATCTCTATCACAGCTAAGCCAAAACCCAATAGATAGGAGGCGCCATAATTTTCCACAACAAAATAAAATAAAGCTTACCTTTGTATGTGGTTCCTGTCTCTTACCAGGCAAAAACTGGAAATCTGGGGAATCATCTCCATAACTTTCTTGGTTGGCTCAGAAATATTGCTTTTAAAATCTGATTGGGCCTCTTTTTGCTGCAATAGCTCCTGTTTGGCATATTCTTTGAGCCTTTTGTAAAGGGTTCGTAGGCCCTGCGCTGTTCGAGGAGGGCGGTCTACTCCAATTGCATTATAGTTAACTGCTATGATATCCCAACATCTATTCTTTTCCACTATCACTGAATGTTTATTAGTGTGTTCTTCGAGAATTTTCACATATGGCTTCACAAGCTTTAGTAAATCAAGCTTTTCAGATAAGGTAAAATTGGAAGATCTAGCCTTTCCTACCATTGTTCTTTTCAAATTAAGTAGGCAGTATCTGAAAACACCACGCAGCTTTCAGCTCTGCTCAGCTCTTTTCACAAACAGAAAAAAGATCAGGCTTAACTAGGCTAGCCTCATTTAGGCCCACGCCTACAGGGGAGGGTTTATTAAAATTCCTCCAGCTTAAGCTGACGCAGGTTCAGGAAATCTGCTTAAACCAAGCCTGACCTACATAAAGCTTCTCTCTGAAGACAGGAAGGCACAAGCAAAACACACTTGTGTATGAAGCAAACCGCTCGAGATAGGATTTAATGCGCAAAGGTCTAGAGATAAGCATGAAACACGGCTAAAAATTAGCTAATTTAGTGAGAATATCGAATTTCCACACATGTATGCCTGGCTGAGAGACTGAAACTGCACTGCAGTTATCACTTTAATTAAAACAAAGGAAGAACTGTTTTGTGCTATTTAGTTACAAATTCAGTATACAAAAAACTAAAAGATACATGAGTGGTGAAAGCAAGGATTCCTAACTGAGATCTAATCACTGTTTCTGAGCTGGGTGTTCTCCCAGACAAAATCTGCATAATGCTGGTCCTGCTGTCAATCAGGAATTGCATATCCTCTAGCTAGTTAGGTTACACCCAGCTCAGACTACACCGCAAACCTAAGCTGCTTTCTCCTTCATTTCACAGTGTGCATTAGCCCCTGCATATTTTTAGTTATTTAAGAGGAGATTTTTGTTGAACACTAACTCTAAAAACCACATAAACATTGTTTTAAAGCAATGGATTATTCTAGTTATATATCATGTCATGAGCTATAAAAAAGCAGGATTTTTTTATTTAGCTATAACCACACAACCTGGACTATAAAGGAAACACCCAATCTAGCCATTTGCAAAGCCACCAGTTTCCTTGCTAGACCCAGTCTGAAAACATGATAAATAATATAAACAAAACAAACCTGCTTTCTCATGACATACATGTTTCTCCAGTTAGGGATATTAATTAAAAGCATGCTTGAACATGGTTCAATTCAGTCAAACAATTACCAAACACCTATAAAAATGCTCCCAAGCGCCATGAGAGGCCTAAGGAAAAGGTAAAGGTCAATCTAGATACAACACATACATACTATAAATTCTCAATTACCTTGCTTTCATTCTCTTAATAAAAAATTTCACTCAAATTTACTGAGGTCTCACTTCGAACAAGACAGTGTGCTAGGTTTCAATTACATTATGTCAGGCGGAAAAAAAGTAAATTGCTGAAGCTTCTACAGAACAGAACAGAACCTGTTGCCTGCTATGTCCTACTGCATAATCTGATTCTGTAATAGTCTCAGTCTTCTACTGCCTTTGAGTAGTTTTACATCTCAATAACTTGTTGAAAATTACCCTAGGTTGAGTATCCCTTATCCAAAATACTTGGCACTAAAATCATCTCAGGTTTTGGATTTTCTTCAGATTTTGGAATATTTGCACATATATGATAAGGTATCTTGAGGATGGGACTAAAGTATAAACACAAAATTCATTTGTTTCATATATGGCTTATTATATACATAGCCTAAAATATAGCCTAAAAGTAATTTCAACCACAATGGTCACCACAAGAGATTGAAGTATGGAATTTTCTACTTGGGAGACATTATGTCAGTGTAGAAGACAATGAGTTAGCTAGCTGGCTAGTGGAGGGCCTGAGATAACAGTGGGTGGGACCACCCATACAGATAGACTGCATCCTCTCTTCAGCAGCTTTGTAGGGAGTGGGCTGCATTCCAGGCTGCCTTATAAAGAATTAATTTCCACAGGCAGCCTGGAATGCAACTCACTCCCCACTAAGGTTCTGAATTCTGAGGAAATTATAATATAATTATAATTTAACCAGTTCCTTCTGAGATCCCAGTTTACTATAAACACTGTGTGAAAGAACTAGATGAGAGAACCTGAATCCCAACTGGTCATTTTTAATCTACAGTCACCTGTGATAGGTGACCACTAAACTGAAGCAGTCCTGTGCCTACTTGCCTATAAATAATTCTGAATTGAGAGGCCATGGACAACCAACTCAGGACCCCTCCTGTCTTGCAGGAGCTACTCCTATTCCCCAACTAACCTTTCCTACTCTTAACCTCCTTTATCCTTTATAATTCATTCTTCAATTTCAGGGGACACAAACTCCGTACATCTGAGATCTAGCAGGTGGGGAGTCATATTTCCTCCTATGTGATCAGGACTTTAAAAAGTTTCAACTTTGGAGCATTTCAAGATGGTGCTCAACTTGTGCTAATGCAAATGATTTTTGTCCATACAAACTAAGAAAAAGCTATTCAAAGAATCTGACCACCAAGTATTAAAAGTCATTCTAGCTTTTTCGAAGCTTTCAAAACAGTAAAGGAGAATCAACGGATAGATTTGTTGTCCTTTAGGGAACATAAGCTTCTTCATCTACATATTATTTTGTAATTTTTAGCAGAAATACAGATACAAGGCTGGGGATATAGCTCAGTGCCACAGTGCCTGCCTGGCAAGCACAAGGTCCTGAGTTCGACTTCCAGTACCAAAAAAAAAAAAGAAATAGATACATATTGTGTTAAGAAATAATAATATGAAAAAATTCAGTCTAAGTATCAAGAAAATGTGCACTAAAAATTATTTTCTGGATGACTGAACACACCTGTAATCCCAGCACTCTGGGAGTCTGAGGCAAGAGGATGGCAAACTTGAGCCTAAGCCTGGGCAATTTAGCCACTTAGCAAAACCCTGTCTCAAAAACAAAAACAAAAAAAATTTAAGGATTGGGGATGTAGCTCAGTGGAAAAGCCCTGGGTTCACACTCTCTAAGACTACAAAAAATTAAAAATAAATAAAAATTATTTTAACTCATAAAACAACAATTTTTAAGACTGAAAACGTCAAGCATGGATAAGGGGGCAAAGGGAGACAGTGCTGCTCAGCACTGTTGGTGAGGGGGACATGCGGAAGAAGTAGTAAAGCTGGGAGAAAGCAGAAAAGAAAATTTGAGATTTTAAAAATTGTACTTTAGCCGGGGATATAGCTCAGCGGCACAAGCGCGTGCCTAGCAAGCGCAAGGTCCTGAGTTCGATTTCTGGTACCAAAAAAAATTGTACTTTAAAGAAAACTGCACCTTCAGAACACAAGCTTGGTTTATTTACTTTTTCCCTTTTCCAAAACAGCAAACCTGCCCAACTCCCTTTCAGCTGCAAATGGGTCTGCCCATTGCCTTTTACTTGCAAGTGGTCCTCTTCCACCAGCAATGGACCGCGCCTTGGGGATTTCCCACAGGAACAGACCATTACCTCACCCGGAGTGAGCCACCCAAGACTATGGATCATCACATTCCACAGGTCTCCACCTCCCAAAACACATGACAGATACAGCCCTAGTTCCCACTGCATCGTGCCTCATTTCTTGGAGCACCCGCTTAAATCCTTTGTGATTTTCACTTCCCAGACTCTTACCTGGAGCCCCACTAGCGCTCCTTCCCTACCCACTCCTTTGTGCTGTGGCCCAGTCACTTCTGCACAAATTAAAAATGGAGCTTACCTCTCTCTCCTACTCTCAGATGAAATGTTTCACCACTAGTTATTTGAAGTTAACTAGTGAATAAAATCTGTAGTTATTAAATAAAATTTGTTTGTACCTCTTTAACATCCAACTTTTTAAATCTTTGATCTAGTGAACAAAAAAAACAAGTTGTAGGTAGATATGTACTGTATGATACCATTTATATGAAGCATATCACTCATATCATTAAGAACTTAGTTTCCTCCTATGGGGAGAATGTACTTAGGTACATCATCTTAATGAAATGCATGGATCACACTGAGGAAAATATAGCAACATGTACAACTTCAGAATTCATTTTTTAAAAAGAAGATAGGGGCCGGGTATGGTGGCCCACGCCTGGAATTGAGTACTTAGGAAGCTAAGGCAGGAGGATCATTACAAGTTCAAGGCCAGTCTGGGCTACACAGCAAGACCCTGCCTCAAAAAAAAGAAAATTATAATAATAATTAATTAAATTTTAAAAGACAGACTGATGTACTGATGTACAAACAGATATGTAATAAAGCAAATACAGTGGTGCCTCAGTTTATGAACTTCATTTGTTTTCCAATTTGGGGGAAGAAGGGGCTGGGGATTTAGCTCAGTGGCACAGCACCTGCCTGGCAAGCGTGAGGTCATGAGTTCGATTCCCAGTACCGGAAAAAAAAAACAAAAAAATTGGGGGAAAGATGGCTACTTTTGTGTTTGTGTGGGGAAAATGGCCACGGTCATGCTTGTCACCTGATGCAGAGTTTGTGAATAGAAGCAAAATTTTGCTGAATGCTTTTGTTTTCAAACCGAATTGTTTGCAAGCAGAGACATTCAAGAATGAAGGTATTACTGTACATGTAACAAAATTTTAATTGTAAATTTGAGGTGATGGGTTCAACCTTTACATTTTTTAATTATGTTTTCACTACAAAGAAATGATAAGGGGGCTGGGAATTTAGCTCAGCAGCACAGCACCTGCCTGGCAACCACGAGGGCGTGAGTTCGATTCCCAGTACCAGAAAAAAACCAAAAAAAAAAAAAAAAAAAAAAAAAGAAATGATAAATGTGTGAGAAGACACATATCCCTATCCTGATTTGAATATCATTCAATGTTTACATATAACATTATACTCCATGAACACAATTTTTATGAACCAATTAAAAGCCAATTTTTAAATTACCATAATAAAATGTTCAAAAAATTATCCTTGAAAAGAAAACAAATATAGCAGTTAATATATTTGAAATTCTTTAGTCACTAAAAATGTGAGGTTAAAAAAGCTAAATTTTTTTTTCCCCCCGGTACCGGTAATTGAACTCACAACGTTGTGCTTGCCAGGCAGGCGCTGTGCTGCTGAGCTAAATCCTCAGCCCCTAAAAAAGCTAAATTTCTAAAATAAAAGTTACTACTAAAATTAACAGCAAGGAATAATTACACCATAAGAGTGGTTTTTCTGTGAACTTTTTTTTTCAGTGCTAGAGATCAAATCCGGGACTTTGCACAGACTACATAAGTGTTCTACTCATAGATTAGAGAGCATGGCAAAGCTGGCCGGGA